ATTCCTGCCCCGCAGCACCCGCCCTTGGGCGCGGAGGGAGAGGCTCTCACCCGCGTCCCCTCAGCCTCCAGGGGCCAGCCCAGCAAGCAGGCAGGGAGGCATTCTCTGGCTGGGACGCCTTTGAGAAGAGAAGCCTCCAGGGACTTCCCGGCAGCCTTTTATGGAGCTGAAAGTGGTTCAGAGAAACGTCAAAGTCTCCCGCAGATAATGCAAAGAACACTTCCTGCGTGCCCTCCCCCCAGGATGGCTGGGGCAGCCTGGACCTCCCCCTCTCCCAGGACCCCAGGAGGCGGGGTGTGTAGCCCACGCGGGGTGCTGGCAGCGCAGAAGCCGGGCGCAGAGGCTGTGAATGTGCTTGGTGCTGGCTGTCCAGCTGCTGAGACTGTCCAGCACCCCCAGCCTGGGCACACCTCTGGTGAAGGCGGAGGGATGGCCGGGGGTGACCAAGCTTTTCACATGCGTTAGCTTCGGTGGGCCCCGGTGGGGGACAGGCAGGCCAGGGGAGGGAGGGGAGCGGCACCCCACCATGACCAGGTCCTGGTCTGTTGGAACCTAACTGACACAGAGCAGCGTCCTTAGTCACAAGGGGGCCTCTCAAGATGAGAGCGACCTATTACAGCCTAAAAAGAAACAGATTTTGTGAAGTGGAGGCCTGAGTAAAAGTCCCGGGAGATATTTTGCCCTCTGTGTAGCAGGGTCCCTTTTAAAGGTGCAGGGGGCCGGCGGGGGAAGGGTGGCCTCTGCTCTCCCTGGTCCGTGCACCCTGCAGACCTGGGTTCCCGGCTGTGCATGGGGGTGGGAGGGGGCATGTCACCCATGCACAGAGTTGGGTTTTGCTCTGCTTTTAACCTGTGTACGGATGTGTGCACGCAGTAGAGCGTTTCTTGTGCTGCGGCCGGTGAGTTACCCCTGAGGTTGGCACGTAACTGAGCTGAATGAATGGGCCTGAGCAGGGTCAGTGGAGCTGTGCAACTCCGATGCCCACCCTGGCCGTGGCCCGCTGGGCTCTTTGCAGCCGGGCAGTGAATAGGAACAGCTATTGGAGCTTCCAAGTTGAAACATGCGGGCTACTCGATCTAAGCCCATAAACCCGCCAAGGCGCGCGCACACGTGCGTGCGCACACACACACACACACACACAGAACCTGTGTTTAGTTATTCCTTCCCTGTCGGACCGGGTCTCGAGCTGCGGCCGGTCAGAACCTGCGCTCTGGCCACAGCAATTTCTGTGCAGTCCTCGTTAGCCTCAATGAAAACCTCTCATCCCGGGCTCCTGGCTCCCAGCCTGGGTGGAACTGCTCCCGTTTAAAGGGGAGAGAGGGCGCGCCTTGTGAGGGGCTTGCTTTTTTAAGTGGTCGGAGAGCCCGGCAGCAGCTTTGTCGCCCCGTCAGTGTGGCCGCTTGGCTGCCTTTCGTCTTCCCACCCCTCCGCTGGCTCCCGCTCCGCTGAATGAGAGGCCCTGGCTGTTTATTCTCAGGGACGATGTTTCAGGCCAGTGGGCGGGGCGGGGGGTGCCCCCAGCCCCCGGGGGCCGCACTCCCTTTGTGCCCAGTGCCCTCCCACTCAGCTCACCATCCAGTTCCTGGGCACAGGATGAGGGGATAGGGGCTGACCTTCTAGGGCCTGGCGCCACACTGAGAGGCGCCCTGGTTCAGATGCTGAAATCGGTGGCCAACCCTGCCAGGAGTTTCTCGTTGGGAGCGACAGAAAGGCAGCCCACAGGCGCTGGGTCACCTCTTAGGTGTCCTCACGTCCGTGACGAGTGTGCCGCCAGGAGGGAAACCAGAAGTTCCCATGTCAGTGAGCTGCCAGGTGACGACCCTGGAGCCCACCTGCCCAGAGGTGCAGGGTTTCCCAGCAGTTGGCGGAGAGCTGCCGAGGACGGGCAGATGATGTAACGCTATGGCCCTGCCGTGTCCCTGGAGGCAGATGAAGTGGGGATAAGCATCTGAGGGCAGTGGGGGGCTTCCCTGGGCCCATCTTCCCACGTGCAAGACGGCCACTCTCCCTGGGGCCTGGCAGCGCAGGTACTTGGGGTTAGCGTTGTAGGGGACGTGTCTGCTTCCTTGCGGGTTTTCCCCGCCTTTCTTTCCGTCGGGCTTTTGTGAAAAAGTGATACATTCACAGGCTCACTTGCTAAGAGAAGGGAGTGAGCGATGACCCCTCTGCAGAGGCCACTGTGCCTCCTCCCCCCGCCCCCGCCCCCCCCCCCCCCCCGCCACACCGGCTGCTCAGCCCCGACCCCTCCGCTTGCCCCTGGGCCCACGGTCGCCCTACCGTCGGGGAAGCCCCCCCCCCCGCCCCCGTTGTCTCTTCCAGCAGCTGTTCTCTTGGTTAGCATTTCTGCTGTTTGCGGCGGGGAGCGGGAAAGGTGATGGGGAGGTTTTTTGTTTTTTTACCATTATTTATTTGGTTGCACCGGGTCTTAGTTGCAGCACTTGGGCTCCTTAGTTGTGGCATGCCTGTGGGATCTAGTTCCCTGACCAGGGATCCAACCCGGGCCCCCTGCACTGGGAGCGTGGAGGCTTAACCACTGCGCCACCGGGCAAGTCCCTCTGCTGTTGTTAAATGAGCATCACAAGCTCGTGATCAAAGAGTCCGGCCCGGCTTCTGCCCCCGCTGGTGCCCACTTCCTGACCACCCTCTCAAGATCAGCCATCTGTGGGACAGGGCCTCAGGGGGCTCCAGGTCACAGGGGTCCTGCTGCGTCCCCACTCACAACCCCTTTGCCTCTCTCGCTCTCCGCAGATGTGAAGTTCATTTCCAACCCGCCCTCCATGGTGGCTGCCGGGAGCGTGGTGGCCGCGGTGCAAGGCCTGCACCTGGGAAGCGCCAACAGCTTCCTGTCCTATCACCGCCTGACGCGGTTCCTCTCCAAAGTGATCAGGTGTGACCCGGTAAGTGACCGCTCCGGCGCTGGCTGGGGGGCCTGTCCAGCACCGGGTACTAGAAGCAACCAGGGCCTGGGGGTCCCGAGCTGCAGTCGTCTGGTGGGAAGTGGCAGGGGCTGGGGCCACGTGGGGGACAGGCAGCCACCTGCGTCCAGAGGCACAGGACCTGGCTGTGGCCCTGGCACACACTGCCTGGGGGCCACTCCACCCCATCTCCTGGGGGGCTCCTTTGGGAGGAGAAACACCTCCCAGAACTTGCGATGGGTGGGAGGGTCCTCCCAGGCTTCTGGTGGCCCCAGGGGCGCCCGGGAGCCTAAACCCCTCCTGGGGTCGTGGCGGGGGGCCATCAGGAAGAGGGGCCACACGGCAGGCTGGGTCAATGATCCGTGCCCTAATGGTGTGTGGGGTGAGGCCCGGTAGAGCTTTGTCTGGGCGACAGTGTGGACGCCCGATAAATGGCCGCTTTACAAGGGCCCCTGTGAGGTCTCCCGTCCACAATGGGCCGGTACAGACAACTTGTTTTTATGACCTCCTTTGAGAGGCTTTGGAAGACGGAGTCCATTGTATCTTCTTACTTAAAAATGCCACTGTCTTATTCCCCATTCTTTTCTTTTTCAAAGAATTAAAATAACAGTTACAAGGGTTTGGGGCTTCACCAAATTAGACCAGCGAGGTTGGTGGCGGGGGTCACTGCCAGGCCCCACTAGTGTCCCGAGTAGGAGCCAGTGACCGCCTCGACCTCGATCCCCGGTCCGGGTCCAGCTCTGGCTCCGGCCGCTTCTGGCGGTCCACCCTCGGGCGCCCAGGAGGCTCGGGGAGGAAAGCTGGGTGTGAGATGGATGCCTGCCTGTTCTCTGCCAACGGTGCTTGGCCACCAGCCTGTGTGACCCCCAGAAGAGGATGCCTTCTTGTTTGTAGGCGCGGGCAGCTCGGGGCCCCCTGGGAGGGGGAGGCATCCTCGGGCGGCTGCCAGGGCCAGCACCATCCCCCCGCTAGAAACGCCACAAACAGCGCTGTCTACAGACAGTGATAGGAAATCGCTGCGTGATCCCTTATCTGAATAGAGATAGTTTTAATTAGATCTGAAGCAAAATGCCTTACGGCTGAGGGATGGTGGGAGGAATCATTTGAGGCTGAAATTTGTTCGTCTGGTGACCGGGTGACAGACGTCGCTCAGACGCAGCAAGTTCTGGGCTGTGGAGGCCCCAGGCCACGGCTGAGTCTGCCCTTCCCTAGAGCTGGCCCCCATGGTCACAGTCTGCTCTTCACGGGGTGAGGCTGCAGTGCCAAGCAGGCTGCTGGGAGGAGGAAGCATGGGCCGTGGAGCTGGAGGATGCGCCGGGGCCTGCAGAGGGGAGGCCCCTCCTGTATGCCTCTGCTCTCCGCTCCACAGCGCGGCCCCCCAAGTTAACAGGGGGCCAGGGAGCCACCCTGGGGGGGCTGCCTTCAGTGGGTGGGTGGAGGCTCTCGGGCCTCAGTAGGCCGTGGTGGGTGTTTGGATCAGAGCCTGAGGAGGCGTCAGGAGTCCTGGGCCTCAGTTTCCTCCTCTGTAAAATGTGGCCTTTTGCACCTTCCCTGCCTCCTCCTTTGCCGTGATGAATACTGAAAGGGTGGGTAGGAAATCCCCCCCGCCCCATAAGCCCTGTCCCCTTGGGAGATCTCCAGGGATTCATTCAGAAGCCCTCTTGGCCTGGCTTCACTTCTTTGGGGCGGGGTATGCCGTTTCCAGCCCCATCTAGGAGGAAGTTAGCAGCGCCTTCTCCGTGCTGAACCTCGTTCCTGTGGGAAAGGCATGGGTCTGTTTCCCAGGCTGCCCTGGAGCCTTTCCCTGGCTCTAGAACAGAAGCCCCGTGTGGCATCCCAGCAGTTGGGACAGCCTCTCTGTTCAGATCCGGGAGCCGCGACTGCCCGGCTGCGGGAGGCGCCTTCGAGCTGCTGGGAGATGTGCCCGCGGTGGGACCAGGAGAGGCCCCCGGCCTCCGGGGTTCCTCCTCTCCATTGAACACGCGGGGTGGTCGCTGCCAGGAGCTGTGCGCAGCCGGAGCGTCTCCCAGGACACAGGCCCGAACAGGAGAGGAAAGGGGATAAAGGCCCCAGGGCCGCCCAGCATTCATCCTCGGTCAAGCACGGCCTAACGCTTTTGACGGCCATTCATCACGGAATGCCGGGTTCACTGCGAGGGCTGACACGGCAGAGGTTAAGTCCGAAAAGCGGGGCTCAGAGGGCCTCCCCATCCTGGATCAGATGGCGCTGAATTCGCGGAGGGCAGCAGTGGGGCTGGTGGGAACCCGGGCCCAGAGATGAGAGCCCCGGTGAGGAGTTCCAGCGAGCGGCCGGGCAGGCAGGGGACTCGGGGCAGGTGGGCAGGAGCGTCTGTGTCCACTGGAGCCCTTGGGTCCTGAGTGGGCTCACCGTGGCCTGGCTGACGTGGGCTTTTTAGGCCGGGAGGGCAGCTGGTGGGCAAACAGGGTCCCCACTGTCGATCCTGGGGTCTGGGTGGCGGCTTCGTGTGTTTGGGGGACGCGGTGTTTTCGGTGAGCGTTGGGAAGGGGGCCCTCACCGCGGGCCACCTCCTGAGGACCCGTCTCGCGCAGGACTGCCTCCGCGCCTGCCAGGAGCAGATCGAGGCCCTCCTGGAGTCCAGCCTGCGCCAGGCCCAGCAACAGAACTTGGACCCCAAGGCCGCGGAGGAGGGGGAGGAGGAGGAGGAGGCGGACCTGGCCTGCACGCCCACCGACGTGCGTGACGTGGACATTTGAGGGCGCCGCGGCGGGAGCGGGGCCGGCCGGGCTCGGTGGACAGAGCCGCTCAGGCCCGGTCGCCGTCGGAAGGCAGCCCGCCCCTCAGTGTCTTGGTGTTTTCCTTTGCTCTTTCTCCCTTCTGTCTCTGAGTTAAGCAAAAGAAAAGAAACGTCCCCGAAAAACCTCACATTCGTCAGAATGGCCATTATTAAAAAGTGTACAAATAACAAATGCTGGAGAGGGTGTGGAGAAAAGGGAACCCTCCTACACTATTGGTGGGAATGTAAATTGGTGCAGCCACTATGGAAAACAGTATGGCAGGTGAGTTAAGCAAAAGAAAAGAAACGTCCCCGAAAACCTATCTTTAAGAAAAAAAAAAAAAAAAAAAAAAAGGAGAGGAAAAAATAGAATTTGCATAACCCTGAGCTGGAGGGGGGAGGAGGGCTGTGCTACAGAAATAGAGGATTTTATACCCCATAATCAACTAGTTTTTATATTCGTGTGTTTGTGTCTCTGTGTTATAAGGATAGGCGTTAACACAAGAAGCGAGTCTGCAGGGGAGGATTAGATTTGATTCTTTATGTGTTTCAAACAAACAAAGAAAAAGCATAAAAACGTTTAAAAAAAAAACAGGAAGAAGTCCACAACCCATTTTTAAAGTATAAGAGGGTTTTAGATAGAACTCTACCCGTGTGCTTTTCTTAAGGGCACAGCTTTAAAGCGGTTCTAGGCATCCTGTATCTCGCTTATGCATGTAGTCACTTTATAAGTCATTTGTTTATTTCGTAGGTAGGCATGTAACCTTCACCTTGTCGGTGGCTGATGTAACCTCTCGGCTAGGGTAGCGTAGAGTTCGGCATTTTCAAGGCCTGATCCTCTTTCTGCCTGTGGACCAACCACCTGAGGGGTTTGTCGGGCGCCAGCCTGCGCCTCGGTGACGGAAGGCCACCTCCGACTCCTAGCGTCCGCTACTAGAAAGAGAAAACGCAATAGTGACCTAATATATTCTATTTTTATAATCTTCATATTTTTGTAGTTACCTGTTTATGAGGTGCTGGTTTTACACCCAACAGATCTGCAGCCTGCTCACATCCAGGTGAAATCTACAGCTGTTTTTTTGTTTTTTGTTTTTGTTTTTTGTTCCTTCTCAATATTCCAAAACCATTCCATTTCAAAGCACTTTCAGTCTCTAGGTGACATCTCTGTGTATGTTGTGTGTGGAGGGGGCGGGGAACGGTTTCTTAATGGAATGGTTTGGGAATATTCCAGTACTTGGGTGCAGACAGGATGGCGAGGCAGGTGCTTGTCGATGTGGTGTTAGCGAAAGGGAGATGATGTTTTGGAGGGCTAGGTTCCGGTCAAGGAGAAGAAAATGTGCATTCATTCTCACACTGCCAGGATGATGTGTTCCTTTCCTCTTCTGTAGAGAAGCTGAAGTTTAGGGATCTTTCAGTGCCAACTGGTGTTTGAAAGTAGGGGCCTTAAAGGTTTACCTAGAGAACCAGCAGTTTCAGAGTTATCTTTAGATGTTTTGCAACGGAAGGTTTTTAAACACTAAAATATATAATTTATAGTTAAGGCTAAAAAGAATATTTATTGCAGAGGATGTTCGTAAGGCCAGTATGATTTATAAAGTAATGCAATCTCCCCTTGATTTACACACACACACACACACACACACACACACACACTTTTCTGCCTTAGATGTTGCAGGTGTAGGACAGTTCGTTAAAGTTAGGTCCTTTTATAAGAGAGGGAAAAAAATCCCGAGAAAAAACCACAAAGACATGGATTTGGCTAATTTGGCCTGATTGGCTTTTCACAGAGTGATCCAACTGGAGAGGTGTCAGAGTTATAAGCACAATTAGGATGCTGGAAACAAGTTCAGTTCCAATACGATCTCAACCCCGAACCCTCCTTTCAAAAAAGAAATTTAGCAACCGCTAGATAATTTGCACATCTTGGCTATGTACCTTTTTTGTAATTATTCTGTAGGGAGTGTTGAAGGGAGCTAGGAGGTGAAGGAGGAAGTGTGTGGAGGGGAGGTGGGCAGGGACCACGCGAGGGACAGGCTGCGGCTCCATTTTTCTTTATTCGCTGCTACCGATGACTTCCCAGTACAGTTTGGAAACAGATGCATATCGCTTCTCTTATCTTTCACATTGTTTTGCTGCTATTGGAGAATCAGCTTTTTTTGTTTTGTTTTACAATGTTCTGCCATGTTCTAGTTTGAATTTTCTCATAGAAGAAATGTATTACGGATGCCTTTTTTTTTTTTTGGTAGTGTCGTTGTTGTTGTTGTTTTTCTTTTTTTTTTTTTATGTGATCAGTTTTGACTTAATGTGATTACTGCTCTATTCCAAAAAGGTTCCTGTTTCACAATACCTCAAGCTTCACTTAGCCATTTGCAGACCAGGTGGTCAGGCTCTGTCTGCTGCTTCGGCAGACAGACACGCGGACGAGATCCCAAAAAGGACCTGGTGGGGATCCCCACCCCGCCGGGCCGTGTTCACGAGGACCCCCCGGGCGTCTCTGGAGACAGGCCATGTCCGTTTCCTTTGCCCTGCGCCTGTTATGCTGGACTCTCCATCTGACCTGGGATTTACCATCATCGTAGTTTTTACAGCCCGTATCGTTCTTTGCGTATAGCTATGAAAGTTGCATTATTATTATTATTATTATTATTGTAACAAGTATGTCTTAATGTGCCATTGTGGTGCTGTGCTGTAGGACTCGGTCATTTGGCATGATTGGAATCGCTTCTGGCCTGTGTCACAGTTTGGGGTGTGTTGTATCTGTTATTAGTGTTCTGTTTGTCGTTCTGGTCATTATAGCAAAAATGCTCCTTTAAAGAGACTTCAGATCTCAATGAAGCCAGCCAACAGTGCTGTGTGCCCAAGAGCCGCCTAACACGCTGCCGAACCAAAAGGATTTGGATTTGCACCGTCCGCGGCGGCCCCAGGCGGGGCAGCCCGTGCGCTTCAAGGCCATTGGCAGGTGCAAACCCACCCCACCCCACCCCTGCAGGAACCCTGCTTCCGCTTACCTCAACCATTCTGGCTGCGGCATCTCTGTCTGAACCAAACGGGGTCCGTGAGGGACGGTCTGTCCGTGGTCGGGGGTGAGATGTGTGTGCTCTAAGGCCAAAGGCCAGTGGCAGGTCCGGGAGCACAGGAAGTCTGTCCCGTGACCAGCAAGTCTGAGGGTCCGGGCGGGCAGGCACTTGGGGGTCTGTGTGTGTTTTTGGTTGCACACCACGGTGTTTCCCAGCACAGACATGTAACCGGCACGTTTCCAGCAGGAAACAAGACAAACATGAAAAGTCTAGAAATAAAATTGGTAAAACCCCAGTGCGGTGTCCGCTTGTCTGTTTCCTGGGGCGGGCAGGGAGCCAGGGCCATGCGCCCCAAGTTCCTTGGATGGGGTTGGCAGGCGGGTAGGGGGCCCGCCTCGGCCCTGCGGACACCGGGGCCAGGCCATCCTCTGTCGTGGGGGGCTGCTCTGGGCACCGTGGGCTGTTGGGCTGCATCCCCAGCCTCCACCCGCTAGATGACAGGACTGACCCCGGGCGTGACAACAAAAATGCCTCCAGACATGGCCAGCGGTCCCCTGGTGTTGCAGAAGGAGGGTGTGATGCTCTCCCAGCCGGGAGGAAATCCAGACCAGAGGTCAGTAGTGGGAGAGGGCCGCGTGGACGCCCCCAGAGTTTGAGGACGGGCTTGCAGGCGGCCCCGACCACCTCAGACTACGGCTCTGGCCCCGGTGACATGAGCCCCGTTGATCAGCCGCCTCCCAGCCCACGTCTGGCCAGTTCGCCCTCCCAGGTTATTTGCAGATAGGAAAGTAAATGAATGCGTTAACCCTCTTCTGGCACAAACTGCTGTTTGCTCTGGGTGAATCATGGCCCCAAGGTGCCCTGAGCTCGGGGCAGGGGGGGAACAACGCCAGTGTCCGGGCAGCGGTCCAGTGGCCTTTCACATGGACCCGGCGACCTGGGAGGCCTGGTGGACACCTGTGACATCCACCTTTGGGCTCCAGATGCCTGCGAACTGGCCGCGTTCCCAGCGCCGGTGGAGGTGGGAAATGAATCTTGGTCCCAGTTCTGCGGGGCCGGGGCCTCTTCCCAGAGCCTGGAGGTCCCCAAGTTGCCCTCACCCCCCAGCTGAGCATTCGGCGAGCGCTCCAGAGCCAGGAGGAGGCTTGGGTCACGCGCCAAGGATGGCACTACTTGCCAGGTCGGTTCACCGCAGCCCTAATGAAGCGCCTGCTGTGTGCCAGCCTGCCCAGGGGGTGCCCACAGGGTCGGTGGGGCCTGGAGCTTCTGGGAGGAGGTGGGGTGTGCGGGTGCCGGAACTGCTGCCTCCCTGCCCCAGTCCCTCGCCGGCTGGGTGGGGACGTGAGGCAAGGCCCCTGCCCCCGGGGCCCACAGGGTGCTCTGAAAGGGGGTCCCGTACAGCAGGGGACCGAGGGACGGTCAAAGCCTCAGGAGGTGCCCTGAAGCCCAGGGCCTGCTCTGCACCACTGCGGTGGCCCAGCCCCAGGGACCCGCTAGTCTGTGTCAGCACCAGGGCCCAATGACATCGACGACCATGGGCGTACAGAGGGGCCCAAGCGAGGCTCCGATGCCGCGAGGGCCTCGGGGTATCTTGAGGAGCAGGGCCAACACTCTGATTGCATTAAGTTCCAGCGAGAATCCGGACAGAGGAGGCCGGGGGGCCGGCCTGCACTCCACAGGCAGCTGGACGCACAGGACGCCAGACCCGCGGGGCTGTTTGATGGTTTCTAATGTTGCAGGTGGAAAATCTGTTTGTGGGCTGACAGGTCGGACAGTGAAAAGGAAGAGGGCGTGACGGGGAGGTGGCCTGTGAGGCACAGGGGGAGGGTGCGGGGGAGGCAGGGGCAGGGGCGCAGATGGGACCCAAAGTACACAGAGGGTTTGGGCCGTGTGAGGAGGGTCCCGGAGCCCCCCCAGGGCCGTCTCCCCCGCCGTGAGGCCCCTGGAGGAGGGGCAGCAGGCTTCTCTCAGTTATGCCACAGGCCCAGACCTCTCCAGCCGCCCACGTCAGCTCGGGCATCCCCTCATGGGGAACCCCCACCATGGAGGTCTGGCTGCCCTGAGCATATCAGGAAAACAAAAACTGGCCTTTGGAGACAAAGGCTTCCGGTGTCCACTCCA